AACGAGGAGGAGGAGGAGGAGGAAGAAGGAGGATGAGGAGGAGGAAGAAGAAGAAGAAGAAGAAGAAGAAGAAGAAGAAGAAGAGGAGGAGGAGGAGGAGGAGGAGGAGGAGGAGGAGGAGGAGGAAGAAGAAGAAGAAGAGAAGTAGGAGGAGGAGGAAGAGGAGAAAAGAGGAGGAGGAAGAGGAGAAAAGAGGAGGAGGAGGCGAAGAAAAGAGCAAGAAGAAGAGGAGGAGGAGGAGGAGGAGAAAACAACAGGAGGAGGAGGGGGGTCGGTTCTCCCAACAACACATAAGAAGAAGAAGAAGAAGAAGAAATAAGAACAAGAAATAAGAAGAAGAAGAAGAAGAAGAAGAAGAAGAAGAAGAAGAAGAAGAAGAATGTACGTAAAAAAAAAAAACCTACAACGAACGTACTCACCGCCGTCGATGGAGCAAGGGGGCAAGTTTTTCGACGTGAAGCGATGGGTGCGGGGGGGGCGGTGCTTCCACGCGCAGCGATGGCTGCATCTGTAGTTGCTGCATGAATGCGCGGCGTCAACGTCGAACAGCACGATGTCGCTACACGACCCGACGTCGAAGGCCTACAGGGAGTGGGGAGTACGCCTACGGGGACTGACGACTACACCTATGGGGAGTGAGGCCAACGGGGAGTGGGGACTACCGCCTTTGCTGCTACTTGGGAGCGATTTCAAACGCGGCCGATTGCGGCCGCTGATCTCCCAGATCGGCGACCACAATCGGCCGCGTTTGAACTTCGAAGTTCAAAAAACCGGGTCCCGTCCAACCCCGCAAAATCAAGTAAGCGCGCGGGGATTTGTCGGAGCGTTTACATCATATTGCGGGGTCCGACGGGCCCCGGTTCTTCGTTTCAGTGCTGGCAGCGGCCTGTGGCCAAGGAGGCAGGCGAACGGGAAAAAAAAAACAAAACGAAATCGACCCCCAGCGAAATGCGCGGGGGCCAACCGGGTGCCTGCCGGGCCGGTCTGCCGGCCGGTCCGACCGGCAGGGACCCGGTCGTCCGAGGGGCCCCCAGTCCATCCGGGGACCAGGCCTGCTATTTTGGCTATTTTGGCTGGTGAGGTCTGGCATGCACCTGGACCCGGCTTCTGGGCAGATCCGGTAATATAGCACGACTGTAGAATGCAGACAGGAAGGAAGGCAGGCAGGCAGGCAGGTAGGTAGGTAGGTTTTCTTGGGGTCCCGTGTCTTAAAAGATTTCAAGGAAACGTGGCCGCGTGTCCTTCTTTGGGATGTGGGTTAAGATTGGAATCAAGGATCACCCCTGAGAAGAGTCGAGACGGAAAAATCGGGCAATGGATCATGTGTGACAAAAGATTAGCATTGCCCCTGAGAAAGGATGACACAGAAAAATCGAGCAATGGAGCCAAAAGTAAAAAAGAAAGAAAACGCCGGGAAATGTCTAATCTGACTAATCAGTTAAGTCAGATGCTTTAAAAAAAAAAATAAAAAAATATTAAAATAAAGTTTAATGAACTATGTTACTAACGGGCTATTTCCAAAGATGACCATTTAAAAAAAATAATAAAAAAAAATTATGTTACTAACGTGGTATTTTGCATTTTCGGAGACCTTATGAACTTATGAAGTCAGCAAAAAAAGTTAAAAAACAAAACAATAGAAAGAAGTCGATGGGAGCTTGGAGCCTTTGGAGGCAAGGAAGGCCAGTGGTGCAAAACGGGAAAAATGACAAGCAGACGAAAATTGAGGTGTGTTGTGAAACGGCATTCAGCTGTTTGCAGTAGCCGATGCAGATCCCAGGGCTCGATCCCTAGTCATCGCCTTACCTGTGTACAGTATTTGTGTCGACCCTGAGAGTTGAACCCGTGACCTGTGTATTTGTAACAGTTGGTAGACTGTCGTAGGGTCCATAGGTAGCAAGGGTTCGATCTGTAGACCTGTCGGGTAGGAGCCTTAGCCAGGTCTAGAAGTCGTAGCTGTGGCTTTCCCGAAAGGTCAAGGTCGTAGCTGCTACAGTCCAGAAAGGTCAAGGTCGTAGATGCTACAGTATCGAAAGGCCAAGTCTACGGCCTTCCGGAAGGTCCAAGTAGTGGCCTTTCAAAGTTGTCCATGTTTAGGCTGAGGCAAGTGGGCAAGTGTTGGGGTCCAACCATGCTGAGTCAGCAGTCCCAGTCCCAGTCAGTCCTAGTCCAGTCAAGCAAGTACCGCATGGGACTGTGTGCACCACGGGCATGGGAAAGGGCCAGACCAGCGAGCTACAGAAGTATAAATCAAAGCGCAGCGCCCAGCCATTCATTCATTCCTGCATGAGCCATGCGGAAGCGCTGCCACAGCGATCTGTGCGAGGTGGTCTGCAGTGAGCCCGAAGACGAAGTGGGCAAGAGAGAAGGAGCTTAGCCATAGCGATAGGGTAGGAGCGGCCATAGCCGCCATAGCTGTAGATAGAGCTCAGTGTGTGTGTGTACAGAGTATCGCGTGTGGGATATCCAGGGTGATCCTGTGTGTGCGAACAGAGAGTTGTACAGGCGCTGTGTCGCCATAGCCATTCGAAGTGAACTTGTATCTGAACTGTGTTCCGGTTACCATATCTCTGAGTTTTGAGTGGGCGCTTGTCGCCAGTTGCTGCGCAACCTGTTTCCATGCATGTAAAGTGTGAATGAAAGCGAGTCTGATTGCAGTTGCTTACACAAGTCATAAAAAGACTTGTTCTAAACTTTTAATATTAATTTTTTAATTTTAATTAACAGAGTATCCTGTGGCATAGCTTTCAAGCGCCATAGCCCGGACCTGTCGGAGGGGGAGGAAGATGTAGGTCATGGCTATGGTGGACCCCATATTGTGCTGGCACTCAGCAAAATCTATGTTACCAGGCGTTCGATTGGCGGATGTCATAGGCGGACGTCTCCGTCACACACACACACACACACACACACACACACACACACACACACGCAGGCACACACACACACAGGCACACACACACACTCTCTCGTACTAGCGAGCTACTCTCTCTTTTTGTGGCTGGATATGTCTCTTTGGTTTTGTTGATTATAGACGGCCTAATTCTTTGCCCTGCTTTAGAGCATGGTCTGTTTGGTTGTTTACGGGTGGCCACGAGTTCACTTTTGGGGGGAATGTATGTTTTGTGGGCCGGCGTCGAAGGCTTTCCCACTTTTTGGGACCCTTAGCAGGGGGGGTCAGTGCGTTCTTGCTGGAGGAGTCTTCTGTCTTAGGTAAGTTGTCTCTTATCTTCTTCCTCCTCTTTGGAAGTGACACAAGTGTGTAGTTTGAGATGAATGTCAGGAATGCCAATACTGCTATATTCGTTTGGTTTTGGTAGATGAGTTTTTGGTTTCGTGGGCCAATGCGGAAGGCTCTCCAAGTTATTTTGGACCTTTGAGGGGGTCGGGTCAGTGACTTCTTGCTGGAGTAGTCTTCCGTCTTAGGTAAGTTGCGTTCTGCCCTCCATCCCCCTATGTTTTGAAATATATATGAATACGTATGTATATGCACAAGTGTGCCGCTTTGGCAGCAGACGGGTGTGTGGGCACTTGGCGCTGAACCACACAAACGTGGCCAACCTTGCATTTTGTATTATATTGCTCATCTATACTTTTTCGTTATGGATGGCTTGTGATGATTTGTGAAGGGAATGAGAGAGAGAATCTGGGGTCTTTCAAAACAACACATGCACGCACGCACGCACGCATGATTCAATCGAACGAATTTGATTGAATCGATGCATTTGATTTGAATCCAATTGGGTGGAATCGATTGGATCGATTCAATCCATTCTTCGATTGAATCAAATCCAATCGATTCGATCCATTCGAATTGACTGGATTTGAACCAATCGCCTGTGTGTGTGTGTGTGCATGTGTGTGTGTGTGTGTGTGTGTGTGTGTGTGTGTGTGTGTGTGTGTGTGTGTGTGTGTGCGTGTGTGT